TTTTTGGTTTTTCGAGACAAGGTTTCTCTGTGTAGCTTTGCGCCTTTCCTGGAACTCACTTGGTAACCCAGGCTGGCCTCGAACTCACAGAGATCCGCTTGCCTCTGCCTCCCGAGTGCTGGGATTAAAGGCGTGCGCCACCACCGCCGGGCCACTTGAACTTCTTTTGGATTAAAGGAGAGAAGAAAGGAAGAGGGAGTGAGCTAAGAAAGGAAGGGAGAGAGAGGAAAAAACCTAGAATTGAGAAAGAGGCAAAAGAAAAAAAAGTTGGGGGAGAGGTGGGGACGTAGCGCAGCTAAGGAGTGCTTCCCAGCATGCATGGTGCCTTGGGTTTGGTCTCCCGCACTTCATAAGCTGGTCCTGAACCGATAATCACAGCACTCAGGAGGTAGAGGCAAGCAAATTTCCGTGAGTTTGAGGCCAGCTTGGTTTCTGTGGTGAGACCCTATCTCAAAAAGGCAAAAATGGATTAACAAAGAGCCATCAATCTTGAATACTCTAGTTTAATCCCTGGCACCCATGTGGTAGACAGAACTGACTTCCACACGTCGTCCTCTGACTTCTACTCCGGCACCCTGGCATGTGTAAACACACACACACACACACACACACACACACACTCACACTCACACTCACGCCTGGGGATATGTTTGTGTGTGGCTAAGTTTGCATTTTCCTGCTCTATGGGGCCCTGATCTTCCGTCCTCTTTCTGGACTGTCACATCTTGACGTTTCATTGGTCTGTGTCTGTATCACTTTCCTCCGGGGAGGCCCGGGGACAGACCTTCCGCCTCCCTCCTTACTGCAAAGGAGAAGAAGCTAGGCAGGGCAAAGGCAGCAGGAGAGCTGCCCTGCAGGTCTGGGGAGGTTTCTAGATCACCCTGCTGATGCTCTGTCAGCCTGGCTTGGAGCTGCTTCCTGTCCATAGTCTAGCCCTCTGGGCAGTTCTCTGAGTGGGCAGTTTATCCATCGCTCAGCAGAGGCAAGAGGCAGTTCAAAGCTCAGAAAGTAACAATGACCTGTTCCCAGCCATGCAGCATTGGTGGGACGGGCCTCCTTGTTGCCGGGAACTGTGTTTTCCCCAGATGCTTATGGAACCAGGGTTGTGTCTAGACAGGTTGTGTCTAGACATGGGGGGCAGTTTCCAAATGGGACGGCTGGAGGGATGGAATAGTCCTTCCATCCTGCTCCATCGCTTTCACTTTTCCCACCAGGGACAAGGTACAGCCACCCACCAGACCCCGGTCTACTTGGTCTGTGTGATAACATTTTGGGCAAGGTTTGGTCTCAGGGTGGTGGTGGCTTCTCATGCTTTTCTGGGGATGAGGATTATGGGGCTCGTCTCAAAGCAGCACCACCTAGTTGGAGCAGTCCCAAATGGCGTACAACATTTCCTTGTATTCTCAGCACTTTAGATCTTAGGTGTAATACGAGTCTCCTGTCCAACAGGTAATGCAAATGAAGCAGGGGCCATCTGTCCGTTTTACAGCTGAGCAAAATGAGGTTGAGACAGGAAACTGAGAAAGCAGAGTGTGGAAGCATTCTGACCTGACTCCCCTCAAGGAACCCTGGCAGAAATCTCAGGATGGTAACATCGTGGCTGTTAGCACTCTGGAAGAGGTTGGAAAGTGTAGGTCCTGGGGGAGGCAACATCAGCTTTAGAGGCAGAGCTGGGCTTTGGACCATGGCATTGGAGGAGACCACACATCCAGAGAACTCATCTCAGTCTTGATTTGGACATTTTGTTCCAAATGATCAGCTGATGCTGGCGTAGACTGTGGTACAGGCTAGGAGCCATCCAACTACTGGGGACAGTTCCCAGCTTGGTGACAAGTCTATTCTCTCTACAATGTTTTCTGAATACAAGCAGGAAATGACTTGTTACTGCGTATAAAACATGGTTGGAAGGGCCTGGGGTAAAAACCAACTAGATTCAAGCACGAACTCAGTGAGTGTTCTGAGCCGATTCAGTCTTGAGAAGTAAGGGAGGCATGAGCGGGAGCAGAGGATTAGCACAGCTCATGGGCTTTCATGAATATTGTAAATGAGCCACGGCACTGGGACAGCTGCTTATTAATTTCTGTGCATGATTAAACCACAGTTGGAGGAGGAAGGCGTCAAGTCAAGTTCTTTGGTCTGAAGGAACAGAAATTGATTTTAGTTAGGCAATGGGAGAGAGGAATATGTACTATGCAACGCACACCCCTGCCCAAACAATGCATGTGGTCCTCAGAGCCCCACCTATGTGGGGCTGTACGTGCGCCTCTCTCTGAACAACAGTATACGAGAGGGAGAGAAAGAGAGGCGTTTGTGGAAAGAAATAGAACAGAGACTCTCAGGCAAGGCAGGGAAAGATCATCACCCCAGACCGCTCCGGTACCTCAGAAATGAAACTTGACAGGCAAGTACTTTTTTTGCTTGTTTATTTTGAAACAGGATCGATCTATTGCTTAGAGCTAACCTGGAACTCACTATGTAAACCAGGCTAGCCTTAAGCATGCAGAGACCCACCTGCTTCTGCCTCCCACACCTGACTGGCAAACATCTTCTTGACATGGTGGATAGATGTCACAGTTAACCCAATGGAGGACACCCGTATGGGTAGGAGGTTGTCTGAAAGCAGGCAAGCTGCCGTTGGTGGCTGGCGCAAACCCTACCTCTGAGTCTGAGAATTGAGTGTAAGTTCCTGCCTAGCAGGAACCTAGAGATAACTATGAAATTGCTCCTTTCTGCTCCTCAGCAGGAGTTTCCGGGCTCTTGGCCGCTCACATCGATCTACAAAAGAAGCAAGTTCAGAAATGATCATACAGAATAAAAGAGGAATATACGAATATACTGTCAAGACTGAGGGAGGATCACGTGAGTGAGTGTAGAAGGGGCTTCCTTCCTCTTCCGGAGTTCAAGAGAAGGAGGAGTAGGTGGCCAAAGGCTGGAGTTGGTGTTTCTCTTTTGTTGTTCCTACTGAGCATGCTCCTTTCCATGCCCTTTCCATGCCAGTTCTTTCCAAGCTGGTTTACCTGCTTAGGCATGTGCAAGACTTTAGGTTCCAGACCCAGGACTAAAGGAAAAAACAAAAAGGCAAGATCAGAAATCGAGGTACTGCTTACACTGCTTACTGATGCACCGGTTCAGAAAAGCTCTGAGATGCACTTTCTTTCTTTCTTTCTTTCTTTCTTTCTTTCTTTCTTTCTTTCTTTCTTTCTTTCTTTCTTTCTTTCTTTCTTTCTTTCTTTCTTTCTTTCTT